CCACCACCACCCTAGCTTCCACCCCAGCTTCCACCCCAGCTTCCACCCCACCACCACCACCCCAGCTTCCACCCCAGCTTCCACCCCACCACCACCACCCCAGCTTCCACCCCAGCTTCCACCTGTAGGCCCGGGGGATAGTTACAGTATCTAATCATCACTCAATGTTCTTTGTTAATCTGTGGAGCGATGAGGCCCGAGCCTAGACGGCAAACTCAAACTATATGCTTCTAATAAACATATAAAGAAACACGTGAGTTGTCTGACTGAAATGTCTTAGTTTCCAGAAAGACTACATCTGTGCACTAAAGGGAAGTTACTCTGCCACAATCATCATGATTTCTACACTTAAGTGACAATGCATTCATCAAAATTAAATGACACTAATTAAAATTGGATGCCGCTCAGGGAAAGGAGGGATATGACGTCAAGTGCTGCGACCTCAGTGCGAGGATCACACATGACTGGTCTTTTGTTGGATGGTGCAGCCCACGTGTCCTGGGCTCTTACTGAAAAGATGTTTCCCTCGAGTCACTGCAACGGCTCTCGAAAGTGGAGAGCAGAATGCGTGCTATGCAAGATGTCTGGTGTGAGAGTGTGTGGGAGAGAAAGCAAGAAAGGAATGAAACCCCTCGTGTGCAGTACTGTCTTTACATTTTAAATACCATGTGCCCAAAGTGTAACCGTCTACATAGAGGGTCATGAACTCTGCCCTCTATGAGTTTTAATCAGCTTCTGCTTGGCTGGATATTCAATGGGAGTGCAGGAAAAGAAAAAAACTATTCATGAGGTACATCTCATGCAAAATGTATGTTTCTTTTATGTTCTTAATAGCATGTCCTGTATTGTAAGCCTGTGTTACAAGTTTATAAGGATTTCTTAACTTTAAAAAAAATATTATAATTTGTTTTAGGGTGACTTTGTTGTCTGGGGACTACAGATGAAAAATAGCCTCTTGTCTTACTCTCGCATATTTAAAGAAAGGTCTATTCATGTGCACTGTCCCTGTTACATACATTAATTTAACCCGTAGATGATAAGTGGGTCTTTTTTGACCCGGTGAGGTGGTTTTCTTGAAGTTTCTTTGTAATTACATTTTTTTATCATTTCATATTCCAGCTATTCTACCCCACTCTTCCATAAGTGGGTCAAAAATGACCCGCATGCATTTGCTATGGAATCCTATGGGAACCTTTGATTCTTATCACCTGTTGCTGTCAGGAATACATTCACTGTAGACCACACAGAGAGTTTTGAAAAGGGACTGGAATACTGTGGGGGTCTCAGAATAGCGGACATCTTTGGGACAATTATGTTCAAAACGTTTTTTTTCAAAATGTAAAAAAAAAGTCTAAAATTATAAATTGTGACACATTCAATATAATATATTTCTAATGTGAACCAAAATATAATACTAAATATTATTCAAGTGACTTTTCTTAACCAAAATGACAAAAATCGCATAAAAACACATTATTCTAATACGGGTAATTTTAGACCCACTTATGGAAGAGTGTAGGGTCCAGTCACTCGTGCATCTAAGGGTTTTTAAGCATTTCAGTTTATGTATTGAATTATATCCTTATTGCAAATGCTAGGGCTTTTTACCCAACTGGATTTTATTTGACATTGTAATTAAGTTTATGTATCCATCAAAAAAAATTCCACGATAGCAATTGTAATGGCTTTTATTTTGTATTAATAGTACAGCCTCTTTTCTGTTGGTGAATATTTTTCTTGTTGATTACTTTTTTCTTACTCTTCTTAATTGTTGTAGTTGTTTGGATATCCATGAGGGTCTGCCCCTCAAATGTTTCTTGGGTATAAATAAATTGTAATTACTGAAATGCTTACCATTTGCCCTAGGTGGCTTACATAAAACAAAAGGGTTAAGCTTGGCAGCAAGAGCTACAGTTGTCACAATCCTAGTTTTCTGTCACAATCTTAGTTTTCTGTCTTGTCATGATTTTATGTTGACATTCTGTTCTCCCTGTGTCTTTTCTTCCTTCCTGTTTTTTTCCTCCTGTGTCTGATTGTCTGATTGTGTTCACCTGTTGCCCTTGTGGTTCTGCCTCCCCTGCCCAGCTGTGTCTTGTCCTGTGATTACCCTTCTTTGTATTTAGTCTTGTCTTCCCCTGTGCTCCTTGTCGGTTCATTGTCTTTCCTGTCACCCTTCATGTTTTTAACGGTTAGTTTTGTCTGGATGACCTTGTGTTACCTACTTTTTGGATTCATGGTTTTGTTTAAGTATTTTTCATTGTCAACAGCTTTTTTGTAAATAAAGCTCGCTTTTTTGTTACATTTTGAAACCCGCTTCCCTTTTTAAACTGCATTTGGGTCCTACCTTTTCCCGAATCGTAACAACAGTGAATTATACACAGTTTACTACATAAAATATTCTATTAATTCTCTGTCTCCAGATAGAGTTTAAAATGTAAGACCCAGTTGGTTAAATGTCAAGCACTGAATTCTCAGAGGATTAGGTCTGAGCATTTTGGGAAGTTCTGCGATTTCTGCCATTTTTCAGCTCAGTTAATTGCTAATCTAATAAAGGTGTGAGGCGAACCAGTGTGACTGTGTATCCACAAAATGTGAGCGTCATATGTTGTCATTGTTGAAGCTGTTGCCTCAGAGATTTATTGGATGATTTAGACATATCTCTCGTTTAAAGTTGTCAAAAATGCCAGAAGAATTATTGTTAACATTAGATGAGGTGAGACCGAGACCCTCAGCTCTGCCATTAGAAATGTATTCAACAATCGTCTAGAGGAGTAATCAATCAGAAATATAAACACCATTACTCACGTGCAGTGACTAAATATCAGGAGGAACCAAGCAGCTGATGCATCAGTAAAACACGTTGTGGTGGAGATAAAACGTCTCACATACATTTAAATGTTCTGATATTGTTTCCGATTAAGCATTTTCTCTCAGCCATTTTTATTTTATTTAGCCATTCTAACTCTAAATTACAACTGAGGTCTGAAAATGCAAAGCAATTCAAGAAAAAGACAATAGAGATAGTATTAACAAAACAAATTGCATTTGTATTATTTAAAACTTTGAAAAAAAAGCCTACATTACCAATTTTCTTCATGGTGTGGTATTCTTTTTCTCCCAGTGGAGATGACGTGAGGAGTGGCCTAGTGACAGGGCGTTTGACTATAAAAATGTTTTTTCGACGTGCTGGGGTACAAACCAACTGATTCACCTCGACCTCACCACGGCCTGCTCCTGCTGCACCTGAAGATAAAGAAAAGGTAACTTCATCTTAATGTTATCCGTGTCAGCTTATATCAAATGCTTCATTTTTCTATGGATCAGAAACATTTAGTTTGCGTTCGATACTAGATTTTCTTTTTCTGGAAATTAATGCATTGCCAGTCTGGGTTCTGGTCTAGTGCCAGGCTAAATATGAGAATATCATTTATATTTACATATATATGATTATTATACATTAGAATATCATTTATATGTATATATAATATATACATTATTTAATGTTTGTACAATTTGTAGATTTTCACTTTAACTTATATAAATACTTTTATTTTATTTTTTATTGGACATTTAACTTTAAATTCTTACCTTTAAATAATTATCTTTATTTTTTTTCATTATTATAATTGCACATTTTATACTGATTCTGATAATAATATATGTATAACTAAAACATGATTTGCTTTAAATTGATAGTAAATATTAGATCAGAAGTAAAAATGCCTATTATTTAACATGTTTTCTGCATTTAGTTTTATTTCTTAGGTAAAAACTATTATTGAGCAGTAGAAAGGCCAGGAATTTAGTTTATAACAGTCATTGAATTTGCAGTCACATGAACATCTATATATCAGTGGTAGGGCCTTGACACCATGAGATCATTGTTACTGCACATTCCTCTCTCTAAGTGATGAGATAACCCTGAATCAATACGCCGTTGTGTGTCTGCATGTTTCCTATGGTCATCATTCAATAAGCACATCCCATGGCATCCATTGAGCTTCAGTTAACAATGTATACCTATTGTCTCTCATAGTCCAATATTTGTTGATGCTTTGAAATCTCGAAAAGCTGTAGAGTCCTCTGGTGGTCACCTAGAGAATATGTCCTCTCTCTACAGCTAAATAGTTTTCACTGTGACTGCAGCGCATGATCTTAAACTTGAAAAGAAAAAATAAATCATTTACTTTTTATTCTAGTTTGGTTGGCTGTGAGTTTACATAGCATTTTATTTCCATTTTTGATTACAGATCTATTGTGTTTTCTCTTAATTGTCTGTGTTTGGTAAGTCCTCTGAGACTTGACTTAAATAAAATAAAAGTGCATTTGTTTGAACTTCTTTTGGCAGGCAGCATGGATGTAAGTACCTCATCAAATTCTACACTGGTAAGATTTACAGAAGTTATTGAAGCTTTTTTTCCATTTTTAAATGCTTCAATCTTTGCTTGTGTCAAACGGCCATGTTTGCAACTGCAAGGTGTTGTCCTCCATCCTTTCCACCCTGTTTCTTCCTCGTATCTCCATCCTGGCCCCTGACCCTGACCCCTCTCCCCCCTCTCCTCCCCCCTCTCAGCATTCTGACGCTCTATGTAGCAGCTGCCCCTCCTCTGGTTCTTCCCCGCAGGCTAACAGTCTCTGGCCGAGCCTTCCCCAGTCTGGAGCCGGGTTCCCTGGGTATACAGGACAGCCCCCCCATCCCCCCCAACCTGCGCCCTGCTGGACTGGCCAGCCCAACACTCCCTGCTGGAATGGGACACAACAAGATCCGGTCTCTGTCCCTGCACAAAATGTGTTTCCTGGTCAAGTCATGACACCAGCCCCTGCAGCTACAACATCCATCGTCCCAGCTCCAGGGCAAGGGCAGCCCTGCAACCCTTGCCAGTACCAGACACCCCAATACCAGCTTCCCCAGAACCAGCCTCCCCAGTACCAGCCTCCCCAGTACCAGCCTGCCCAGTACCAGCCTGCCCAGTACCAGCCTGCCCAGAACCAGCCACCCCAATACCAGCCAACCCAGTATCAGCCTCCTCAACCACCAGCTCCAATTCAAGCTCAAGTACCTGCTCAAGTTCCAGTTCCTGTTCCAGCTTCAGTTCCGGTCCCAGTCCTAGCACCAGCACCTGCTTCTGCTCCCAGCCTCCGACCAATTATTCCGAGATGGCCTGCCCACCCTGGTTGGCCCTATAACCCGGGACAGTCAGGATGGCCTGGACAGACTCCATCCAACATGCCTCCACAATGGCTTCCACCCACTTCTGGACCTCTGGTGAGCCAAATGCTAACAATCTGACTTTCAATTTCCCCTGATAATGTACAGGAAATACTTAGTAATTAATACTGTAGATACAGTGATGCCTGGCTGCCTCCTAATTCCGGTCGTTTTGCTGTTATTCTCCCTCCTTGCTGTTCCAGAGCGTGCCATTCAACTTGAACCTGGCCAGAGGAGTCTATGACAAGATGATGATGACCATCTTGGGCCATGTCAAACCTGATGCTAAAATGTAAGCTTACTCAAAAGTGCTTTACTGACTTTTAAACCATTGTTCTTCGTGTACAAATATATTTCCAGATTCTCTCGAGAGACACTTTAAGTGAATAGGTATTTTCAACTCACAAACTTCAGCATGACTATTTTAATGAAAAAAAAGACAAAGTTATAAAAAAAAGATACCAAACACCTAATTGCAGATTGTGGGTGTATTCTTTATATTAGCCAAGGCACACA